CCCTATATATATATATATATATATATATATATATATATATATAGAATTGTTTAGAAACATACATCATTTCCTTTTTAGTTACAAGTTCTAGATTTTATCCTAAATATATATTAAATAAAATTTAAAAAAATACAAAAATAAAGTGATGTCTCGATATTCTTTGTGGAAAAGGATACCATTTTACAACTTGCCATTATCAAATGGATATCCCTTTCCTTTCTTTACCCCTCATGAAAAAGTGAATGATATTTATTAAGGTTAAATTGTATGTAAAAATAATGTATTTTAATTTAGGTAATGTGTTTTTAAAAATTTTATTTTGATATCTAAGATATAAAATTTCAAACATTTATGTACCTCGATAACCGGTTGAATCATTAATCGGTTATCATGCTGATGTGGCAAGTGATGTGGTATTCAACTCAGTATTATTTGCTGACGTGGTTAGTGACATGGATTTTTTTTAATCTAAAATTAGTCTTCAACAGTTATCCGGATACTTAAATATTTAAAACTTTACATCGTAGGTACCAAAATGAAAGTTTTAAAAGTATTTTACCCAAAATAGGAATCAAGTTATAGTACATTATTTTTTTGGTGTTAGGGGTCGTTTATCAAACACTTACCCGGTAAGTGCTTACAGGGTAAAATTTTAGTCAATCAAAACAATATTGTATGCAACAATTCACCCGGTAAGTGTTTACCGTGGTAAGAGTCGTCGCCTTCACTTATCGGGTAAAACTCATGGTCCTTATCTTGCTCTTACCGGGTAAGATTCTTTGTCCTTACCATATTCATCTGATGAGGTAATGTGACTTGATAAACGCTTACCCGGGTAAGTGTTTGGTAAACGGCCCCTTAATTTGCCCTAATTCAAATGATCAAGAATGTTGAGATTAATACAATCTCAATAAACAATAACATAACGTATTTGTAACCGACTGATATATATATATATATATATATATATAATATTATTAAAAAAATTGTAATATTAAAATTTAAAAGACTTTTATCTACTTTACCTAAACAACCCAAATAAAGCTTACGAAAAAATCTAGTTTATTTGTCTAAAATCGTGATTTTAGTTGTATGATGTATGAATTTTTGTTTAGTTCTATATTGTAATCTAATATATTGTTTGTAATTGGTTCCATTATGTTTGAGACATTTAAACTTACATCTTTAAAAAAATTGTAATTTACTTTTAGTTGTGAAAATTAACATATTGGAATTTTTTTCCAGATCGGTTTGGGTTCGGTTATAACCAATGGTGAAAAAAAGGATTTTTACTCTTAACGGGTTCCCCAACGGGGATCAGGGAAACCGTGGGGACCCAACGGGAATCGGGACGTTTTAGCTATCGGTTTTGGGAACGGGGATATCAATACCTGTCCCGTTGCCATTACTAGTATGATCTCCAATTGATCCATGAGTGATGTAGGAGTACGACCAACAATGGTGGGATCGTTAATCCTTTGCTCGATATTTGGGGACTGAACTCCAATTCAGAAAAATGGTAAAGTCGTTTATGTCTCTACTACAGTAGTAGTTCGATATATGTAAAGATATGTGTTCGATATGTGATAACTGGGTTTGTGATTAAAAGTTTTGGGGTTGTGTGAAAGTTGAGGGGTGAAATGTTGATAATTGAATTAAAAGTTAGAAAAAAAATGCCCACCGCCTTTTTTATAAAATACTATATATGGAGATATTATTGCTTCATATATGGGTTTTGAATATGTTATATGCTATAATTTTGTGTTTTGATATGTGATTATCAATTGGTTGGAATAAGAGTGGTATAATCAGGAGAAATGTATTTTGAGATAAAGGGTGGCAAAACAAGAGGCATATGTGAATTCGTGTGATTCACATGTGAATTATATGTTCATATATTAACCTGTATAATTCACATATGAATTATATGTGCATATGTTAATTTGTGTAATTCTCATATGAACTATTCAACTGATTCACATATGAATTATGGGTTCACATATGAACTAATTAACTTATTCACATATAAACTATGAGTTCACATATGAACTAATTAACTGATTCACAACCACAAGGGTGGTGCCTGATTGATTTGAGATTGACTCCAAAAATCAAAAGTACCTGGAGGTCTCATATTCAAATTCAAGGAAAAATAAAAATCCCTTGTGGCCACGGAGGTTTAAATGCAGTGACTCCGGGCTATCTGCAAAGCAGGTAGTCGCCCTAAGATTAGTCGGCTAGCATAGTAGGTTGGATATCCAGGTTAATATAAAAAAAAAAAACTGATTCACATGTCATTGTTTGTCACCTCTCCACACACACACACACACACACACACACACACATATATATATATAGTTGGTTTCCAGTGAGGATGAAAGTTAAGGTGAGAAGTGTAAGAAATAATCTTCACCATTGAATACACATTAGAATGAGATACACCGAGATGGACCGAATCAATTCTCATATCAAGTGCGGTTTATGGATGAGTTTGAAATTAAAAGGTGATCAAGAGTTCAGATCCCCTTTTACGCTTCTCATATTAACTCTCTTTCCTATACGATCATTCGTATATATATATATATATATATATATATATATATATATATATATATATATAAAAGATGTATGCTTGATGTATACATTATATTAGTTTGATCGATGTGAAAATAACTTTTAAAAGTTTAATTGTAATTTGATTATTCTCTTGGAAGATTCAAAATCTTGGAAAATATCATTTACAATATTTAAATATTTAGCTCCTTTTTTTTTAATTTCAATTATTCTCTTAAAAATACCAACAACTTCTCAATTTTTGTGTTTTTCTTTGAAAAATTATTACCAAAATTCTTACCAAATCTTTTAATTAATAATTTAACATCTTACAAACATTTGAAGGGTTGGCTTTACTTGAGACCAACATGTTTTCGTGAGATTCGTGAGACTGTTTTTTTACACTTGAAACTTCATAACAAACAAAAACACCGTAAATGTTACTTTCACAGTGTTTGCTGTAAAGTTTCAAATTATTAGTAGCATGCTGCTTAAAACTTATAAATAGTTAACAATTTTCACCTTCTATTCATATGGGACGAGTTGTTACATTATAAACCTTAGATCTTATCCTTAGATATATTAAATAAAATAAAACAATACAAGAATAAAGCAATGTCTTCATATTCTTTGTGGAAAGTTTTGTTTTTTTGGGATGCCATTTTAAAGGATGTTCCTTCTCATAAAATTCACCCCTCATCACAAGTGAATGGTCATTATTCAATTAAAAAAAAAATAAGGAAAGGTATTTATTATTAAAGGATTGTTTGTTTACTTTTTAATAGTTTTTTTTAAGAGGTAATATCTGAATAGTTAAGAGGTTAATCTTATTTGGCAAAATAAAATATCTGTCTCTTAATGGTTCTAAAACTCTCTGAATGATTTTGTAACATAGGCCTCCCTTAACCGTTAAGTGTGTTGATTTCAATGTAACCAATTACCAAACAATTATATTTCATTTTACACTATATCATAAAAGTCTCTTATTCATTCTGATCACTTAATCATTCTTCACCAAACCATTCAACAACTATCAAACCAGATCCTGCATGTATGTGATATTAATGAGGGAGCCACATGAGAGCCAGGAGGTGCACCGATGCCCCCTGGATTTTTTTAGAAATTTCTTTGATATGTAATGATATCTACAAATTGAGGTGATATCTTGTGTAGGGTTTACCAGTTTTTGGGTTGGGCTCCCCCTACATATACATAACCTCAACTAATTAACATATACACAATGTTGTCGGCCTATTTACTGAGGCCATGAATCTTATCGATACTCCATCGGTCCATTGTGCCTTCACAATCATCGCCGTATGGTTGACCGGCGATTACTAGCGATGTAAATAATTCTTCTTAAATGAGGTAAGCACTTACATCACTTTATGACTGACTTAATGCTTAAGTTATTCTTATAACATTACTTTATTCTTATTTTGAACACTTTCAGTGTGAGATGGGTCGTTTTCATAAGGATTAATGTGTTCTTCACCAAGATCATAGCATTCATCATCTTCTTCCTGGTCTGTAGATTCCATATCATCGGAAGTGTCTATTTTTTGTAAAAGATGAGTCTATAACCAATGTTCAATAACAGTTTTTCCAAAAGTATCTCTAAAATGGAGAAAGTATGAGAGAAAAACGTTTTTTCTCCAAATATGGAGTTCACCCCAAAAATGGTTACCAAGTGAGAGCACCAATAAGAAACTTTGAGAATAAATATTTAGAGAAAAAAATAATGTTTTTAATATTATAATCAATGTTGGATTCTCCAAAATAAAAAATCTGTTGGAGATGAATGTAATTTTCTTTGGAGATTTAGGGGGTGTTTGGGATTGCTTATTTGAAATAATTATGTTTTTCCACAAAAGTGTTTATCAACTTATTATAAGTTAGAATAATTTAACTTTTTCAAAAACTCCTTATTACTGGTTTGACACCGGTATAAGTTGTTTATCCAAACACTCAAAAGTGCTTATTACCGATGTCACACCGGAATAAGTCAATAAGTTGTTTTTATAAGCAATCCCAAACACTCTCTTAGACTTTGGATTCTCCATTTTGAAGAATCTGTTAGAGAAGCTCTAACACACCAAGTAAATCATTAGAACAAAAAAAAACAATACAAATCGTTGTCAATTGTATCAAATGTTTATATTGTATCAAAAATATTTTCCCAACATCAGAAACTCCAATTACCGTCATTTTCACCTTGCAAAATAGCCTTACGGGTCATGCTGACCGCCACCCACCACGACCACCACTACCTACCAACACTGCTACCCACAACCACCGCAACCCACCATCACCACCACCACCACCCACCCCCACCATTACCACCAACCGCCACCCACCTACAACCACCACCACCACCACCACCTCCCGTTCCCCCTCCCTAGTCGAGCAAAGTAAGAAAAACTTAAAATAGTACAATTCCGATCAAATGGCGCAAAATTTCCACCAGCTAAGGTCAAGAAAGACTATATTGTCCATTAAAATCAATTCAGCATATTTACAATCACTCTCAAGAAACTAAACAATACCACTCCCCCCATCAACATTCAACCTCTAATATACACACATCCTACTTCTACAGATAATTGAGATCTGAGAAACTAATACCAAATTAGTTGCACCCTGACCCTATTTATCGATCTAAGGATCAAACCAACCAACGACTTGAAAAGGAAAACCATAACTAGAAAGCCGACAAAGAGGGGAGGTACCTAAAAACCGAACGAATCTGGAACTATTCCATTAGTTTTCAGCAGCTTCCAAACTAAATCCCGACACTTCATTGTCTACGGAAGAAAGTTTACTGCCGGCTCTCATTTTCTTCACATCTTGACTACAACATATCCATATCCGTTTCACCATGCTACAGAATTCCCTGCAGATAAATCAAGAAACGTTAAAGCTTTGTGATCTTGCTCAACATTTAGGATGCGTTTGGTACACTGAATAGGATAGAATGAAACAGTACATGGACCACTGTTCCACGATTGGCATGACTTTTATATGGAAATGACAGAAACTATGGAACAGACATGTTCCACACGCACCTCATGGAACAAGGTGGAACAAGCTTATGTTTTACCAATATACCCTCAAAATAAAAATATAATTGTCTTCTAATATCTCCCCATTTACATTTCATTCATTCTTTAAAATTTATTTATTTATCGTATATTATCATTTTTAAACTCACTTTACTTTGGTCAAAATATTACTTTTATAAGTTTTCTATAATTTGTTTAATTTATGTAGTTTACTAAATATTAATAATAAAACAATATAGAAAAAGGTATAAAATAAAATTTAGAAACTTATAAACTTCATATTTTGGTGTCATTTAATTGTTTTGACAAAAACTTTATACTGAAATATTTTGTTATAAAAAATACTTATTTTTTTATAATTTAATAAATTATATAAATTAATCAAAATATAGAAAAGATATAAGCAACTCCTTAGGGGTAAATTGGTCATTTTATCGGCCTTATTTGTTCCCAAATGCACCCTTGGGGTACGCAGATTAGACTGGATTGGTTAGGCGGGTGAAAAAATTGTTGAAGGTTTTTAGGGTTTTAATTTGAGATAAACTAAGAAATCAATCTTATCCCACCTACATGATTTTTGTTCCACCATATTTTGGTGGGACAACGGGTTTTTTTCTGTCATGTTCCGCATACCAAACGCACAATTATAGCCAAGTTTAATGAGGTACTTACTGCCATGGATCATCGCCCATGAGCATCATGTCTCCTTCGTCATCAGTGAAGACAATTTCCCATTGATCACGAGGGTGGAGCTCTCCCTTAATCTCAAACATCTCTTCGAGTTCATCTATAAGTTTGTCATACCCTTTTAGCACAGTCAAGTCAACTGCCCGACCCACCGCCATGCCTTGCATTTGAACCTTCAATCATTATCGGTATTAGATATGTATCTAAATAATAAAAGATGCACCCCACCAAAGGAAACTGCGAAGTTGAAGATGGGGCTTAACCAAATAAAACCAAACAAGCCCAGTATATCCCAGCAGGACCTGACCTCTACCCGAGAGAGTAGGGCAGTTGTTTCCGTGAACACTGCCCCAGCTTGAGGGTGTGTTTAACCAACTGAAGAGAAGATAAATATTCCGAAAGATTAAATGTACCTTGGTACGACTACGCGTAGAAGTGGTGTGTTTGCTTTGGACTTCCTTTGGAGAAACTTGCAACGGCCCTTGGTCTTTGCAGTCCTTTGAGAGATCAGACTTCTGGTCCAAAATCCCAGCAGACAATGTACTTGCCGTATTTCCATCACTTTTGGTAGGAATCTTTATGTCAAAACCAAATATTCTACAGCTTGAACTCCTTTCAGATTTCATCATGTCAACTGAACTTTGAATCGAATCGCTGGGCAGTTTCAAGATTTCTTGAACTGAGTAAGTCGAATGGGGTGACCAGACCGAGAGACCTTTTTGATCTTCAGTTTCATCAACAACCATTTGAGTCCTGAAATGACAGCCATTGTTACCGTTTTCTGTATGATCGGGATGCCAGGAACCTTGATAATCACTCCTTTGTCCATCGGGATTACAACTTATCTGAGCTAAAGGAGTCCAAACACCGGATACAACAGGAAATGAAGGTTATGGAACAAACAGCCCAAATACAGAAAGAGGTTAAATCCATCTCAAGATTCGCGACTACTGAACTTAAGGTAATAAGAGCATATAAAACTCACCAAGATTAGGAATTTCAACCGGAGGTCTAGGCCTCTTACTTTTTACTGCCACTGGTTGAACCAAACTTGTAGGAACAGGAATTATAAATGTTTCAATCTCCCATGGAGAAACCCTTTCTGGTCTCCCACCAGATGCTGGTTCGTCCCATTGGACCTACGGTAGACACAATTAAGTTTGACTAATTTCAAAAAAAAAAAAATTGATCTTTTTTCAATAAATAAAGTCAAACAACAAAGTAAATCCTACTCGAAAGTAGGATGGGGGGGGGGGGGGTGAGAAGCATGCATACTTGACCTATCCCAAAAGGGTATAGCAGCTATTTCCGTGAAGACCCCCAGAAACAGAAACTAAAACAAATGTTAAGCTTGAATGAATCCATCAATTGTAATAGAAACTAAAACAAATGTTAACCTTTAACGAGCGCCATTTAGAACATTCCCACTGGGGAGATATGTCTTCAACTCCAACTATCGTCCCTGTAAACCTAATCAATAGAAGGAGTTCCGACAAATAAGCATTGTAGGTAACCAAACCAAAGAAGCCCGGTATATCCCACATTCCCACCTAAGAGTGCGTTTGATACATTGGACAGGGTGAAACAGAACAGGGATCACTGTTCCATGTTTGGCAGGACTTTTATGTGGAACATAGTGGAACAGTCCTGTTCCACCCCCACCCCATGGAACAAGGTGGAACAAACCTATATTTTACCAATATAACCTCAAAAAGAAACCTAATTCTATTCTAAAACATCAAATAAGCCTCCCTCTTTACATTTTATTTATTCTTTAAATTTGTAATTTTTGTATTTTATGCTCTTTAAACATTCACTTTACTGTTCTCAAAATATTACTTTTACATGGTTTCTATAATTTCATTAATTTATGTAATTTATTAAATATTAATCATAAAAATAAATATAGGAAAGGCCATTTTATCTGTTTTATCATGTCCAGTTCCGTCTTACCAAACATTGAACAATTGTTCCTGTCTATCCTGATAAAACGCACCCTAAAAGTGGGTCACGGGCAGGGGAAGTTGTACACAGACCTGACCTCTACCCCTACCCTCAAAGTGCAGAGTGATTCTTCCCGTGACGACCCTCGGTTTGTGAGAAGTGTGCGAAAAAGATATAGTTTCCCCAAAGAAATAAAGGGAAACTAAAAAAAACATGAGCATTGTACTAAAAGGACCCTATGATTGTATAAATATCCAGTTACCTTCTCTCAGGAGAGTCTTCACCCTCAAATGGCATTTTAAACCTCATGCCAACGGTAAACTTATTGTTTACAGCTGCTATATACTTGTTCAAACCGATAATGAACTGACTTGTCCTGAAAAAAAATTAGCAAATTTCAAGAACTCGATCAAGATCCAAAATTTTCCGACATAAGAAAGATAGACTACCTTGGCTTGTAGTAGACAACAAAACGAGTTTGGGTCGAAACAGCATGTGATGCAGTTGCAAGTACTCCAAGGTGCATACTCTGGCTTGAAATTACCGAAGATGGCATGGAGCTTTGTTGGCGAGCAAAACGTCTAACACCTACTCGTAATTCACCATTCTCCCCCCTATGCATAGATAGGTTATTCAAGATGTAGCAATAACAACTCGGATATAAGATATGAAGTGGCGGACTTAAGAAGGCACGTCAGTTTTAATTTAACGTGTGCTCCCCTAAGTTGACAAAAAGTGGTTGCAACCTCCTCATTGAATCTGACATTATAGGTTGCAAGTTCAAATCTTTCTGGCTTTTCTTTTACTTTTTTGGTGACAACAGCAAAAAAAAGACCCACTTGGGTGTTGCAAAATGCCACTTGAATGTCATTTTTTAATGAACCTGTACTTTTCTATAATTAATGTTAGTTCTATTTTATATTATGCTAATTATGTTGTGCCCTTTTTTGAAAAAAATTCTGGATCCGCCTACGGAGATATATGCGCATGTAAGTATGTAACCAACAGCAATACTACAAAGGCTTTACCTAAGGAATACAAATGAATCCCCAGCCACTAGTCTCTTACAAGTAACAAAAGTGCTCCATCCCGTTGTAAGCAAATGGCGTCGTGGTTGACCTGTCGGATCAAAAGAGAAGTTGCTTATCAAGAAAAGTAGAATACTTCCACATGATTGACCAAGGCAAACCGACACATTCGGTATATGTCATATTCACTTGCTTCTATGTGCTTGAACAAGATAAATTCACATGTGAATATAACTATATAAGTTGTAGCATATATACAAGAAACAGGAATCATAGTGACCTCTAAAGATATGCTTAAATCGCCACTCGATCCCATGAAGATCCGTCGCTACCAACTCTTGGGTAGGTGTGGGTTGCTTCATGTCCTAAACAAGCTCAATAAATTAAACATAAAAAAGTAAGCATCTGAGTTGGGTTTGGTAAGGAGGATGAAAAGAATCAACAAAACTACCAAGGATAGATCTCAGCTTCTTGGAGGTCAAGGGTTCAAGCATGAATATTGTGCATCAGTTTTGCCAAATAAAATACTATATACTTCAAAAGAAATTACCAAGGGAGGTAGGCATTCATTTGCATGCTTCCGGAGAACCGAAAACCCACCATGAGTGCTTGTATCCGAGGCTGTTAAAACTTTGCAAAAAGAATGAACACTTGGTCTCGGGGGCTCTGCAAGGCATTCATCAGGACTGGTGGGATCGCTATCACTTTGCTACAGATTGTTACGGAAAATCATGAAGATAGTTCTTTTTTTTCATAAATTTCCCACATAATTGAAGCAGCGAAACTGAAATCTTACCTTTGGCTCTGGGAGTAAAGTGATTTGAGCATAAACTTCATCTGTATCTTGTTCAGCCTACAAACATAAACCAATTCAACATTCAAAATCTCTTTTCTTTGCAAATTAGATACCAAAATGCAAGAAATTTTCAGAGCTACAACATGTTTCACAGATGAATCTACCAAAAAACAACATATTTTTCTGAGATTTTCTAAAAATACCAAACAAAATCCAAATAATTAAACCTCAAATAATTGAAGATCGTGAGAGAAAATGTCACTGTACCAATAGCTGAGTATGAACAACACGACAAAGGATCTTGGATTTGAGGTTGAAAAGAGGAATCCTCTGATTCAATTCCTGATTTGTTGATGCCTCTAACTAAAAACCCCATAAAAAAGAAAAGAAAATATCCCAATTATAACAAATCAAAAACCCATATAATCAAAAGTAAAACCTTGAAAAAAGAAATCTGAATTTCTGAGTAAAAATGGAAGACTTTTTTTACTTGTTCCATGTGGCCTTGAGGAAAGTAGAAAACTCTCTCCCCATCTCTTGGCACATCCACTGGTGGGCCCGTACATGCCTTCCACAGCTCCTTATACAACAGATCTTCACAAAAGAGGAAAAAGAACCCACATCAATTCCATCATAGAATTGTACACTTTTAGCACAAAACACACACCGAAAATAAAAACAAAAACCCCAAATGGGGGGAATTGGCGAGATAGTCATTCCTCTCTCATGAAATGGTCTCCTATTCCTTCTTGTACCCAAATATCACTACATATGCGACGATATTTGGGTAAATCAGGGAGAAGGAATGGTATGAGACCAATTTACGAGAGATAAATGGTATTTTGGCCAATTTATCCCAAATGGAATATCATTTCCATCAGCCCCAAATCCATAATCCATAAGAAACAGGAGAAGAAATTGATCTTTTATAGCATAATTACCAACAAAAGAAGAAGAACGAATTAATGAAGGAATTTTGGAAATTCACCTTCGGAAGGGAGAAAAGTCGAACCTCGATTCTCCATGATTAGAACCAAAACGAACACCGTACGTAACACAGGGTTTTGTAAAACACAAATATCGAATAAATTAAACCACCAAAATCATCAAATTCTCCACATTATAAGCATACTAGTGAAACAGTTACTCAACATCCCCCATTTAATCTCATTTCCACTAATGAAATTAAACCCTAAAACCGTCAATCTCCGGCTACGAAACAAACAGATCGGAAAACCATAACAGTTGATGATGCTTTCAGCTTTCAGCTCCCAAATGGCAAAATTCTTGCTTGTTTCTCTCACTAGAACCACATGAAAATGTGAAAATGGCGTTAAAGAAGCCACATAGAAGCTTAATTATACGCCATGATTCTTCTTTCTCTCTCTAGAAAACACTTTTGCTGTCTCTATCTCTCTCTGTAATAAGCCTTTGTTTGTCTCCTTTCCTGGTGGTGTATAGTGCGTGAGCCTAACCTAACTAACCATGGTTAGGTTAAAGTCTTCCCATAGTTGTAGTGCGTTTGCCTAACATTATATTATACACCTCCTTTTATTCAATTATTAAAATTAAAAAAATATATATTAAAATTTTATTTTAAATAAATAAAAACTATTCTCCTTGAAATATCATAAAGGTACAATTTAATATATTGATTAACATATATTTGTTTCATAAGTGAACATTTTTTATGTGTTTCTAAAACAAAAAATACAACTAAAAAGTTTCACATTGTGAACCGAATACATACTAAATAAACAGATTATAAAACAAAAAATATGTTAATTAATATATTAAATCTCAGCCATAGATGGAAAGAATCATGTAAGATAATACTTACGATAATATCCACAATATATGAGGTTCTCAAATAATTAAAGAGTTATTTGTTTATCTCTTAATAGTCATTAAGAAGCAACCTCTGAATCATTAAGAGATGAATTTTGTTTGGCAAAAAAAAATATTTCTTAATGGTTTTAAAAACTCTGAATAATTTTGTATCCTGGACTTTCCTTAACCATTTAGCGTCCTAATATCATTGTAAACAATTATCAAACAAATATATTTCATTTTTCATTATATCATAAGAGTATCTTAAATAATCCTGACCATTTAATCATTCTGCACCAAACTATTCAGCAACTGCCAAACAACTCCTAAGTCTCATATGTACTCTCTTAAGAAATGTTCTTTTACAAAATAATGAATAAAGCATACTATATTTTTTATCTTTATTGTATGGTAATTATTGAATATCGACTTGTTTTTTTATTGTAGGTGTTTGGGTCAGCTTATACGTATCTCGATTAATTTTATAGAACCTAAAACAGCAACCAGAAAAACCTCAGTGGCATTTTATTGTCATCTGTAATTTGTTTATTTCAAATATGGTTATTTTAATTTTAATATTTTACGTGTTTATTGTCCGTGTCAGATCCCATTAATTTTTGTTTGCTAACTAAAGACGAAGGTATGTATGTAATAAGACATTTTTTGTGATGTCATAATTTTTCACTTATAATTTTTCAAAGGTGCTTATTATGACTTTATTGGATCGTATGTCTAGTGTTAATTGGATCGGATCAAAATTTAGAGTTGTTCATGGGCGGGACAACTCGTTAGACCCGGCCCATCTGGGTCCGGCTAGTTAGAAATACGTGTTTGGACAACCATCATCGAGAAAATTGACGGGTCTGGGTTTGTTCGTTAAAATTAACGGACGGACATGTGCAATGTAAAAAATAAATATGGATAGGCCCGTCCAGCTCATTTATGTTTTATAATTAAAGTTATAGGATGGAGTTGGGACTCTTTGGTTTTTCTTGAGAACCCAAAAGGCTCTACTATATCTTTGTTAGTATCCTTATGTCAAACGTCCTGATCAATCAACAATAGATAGAGTCAGTAGCTGCTCAAAGTTTTAATTACAACGGTGTTTTTCTTTTACTTTTTGGTTCCAAATTTGTTAATTTAGAGTTACATTTTTTAGGCCCATTAGCCCGTGGGCAATCCCGGCCCGTTAATATGACGGGCAATGGCAAGTTCTCAAGCCCGAAAAAAAGGAATTGGATTTACAATATTATGACCGTTGGACAAAAAAAAAACAACTTAGATCCAGCTCAGGCCTGTAAATAATCGCCTCTAGATCAAATACACCTAAAATTCATTGGATGTCAACCGATGAAAACAACTAATCGGATTTGTAAAACATAGAGTAACTAATAAATACAATTTTAGTGTTAAAAGTAAGAAATATAAGAGTGTAGGGACCATAATGTAAAATAATCAAAAGTTTGGGTTATGGTTGGTTGGTAGTGGCACCATACATCCCATTCACAAATAATTGAATTTGTACTTTTTAAGGTAAATTAAGGTTGGTGCTAAATAAATTAATTTTTTTATGTTAAATCAAATCAAATATATTTAAAAAAGTTGATATATTTAAATAAAAATATGAGGATTTTATTTACGTTCTGTTATCGAGTCTTTTATATTATAAAGAAATAAAACGAAAAAGGAAAGAAAGTGGGGTGAAAATACAGTGGTTTAAAAAACTTGTCTACTGATTAATAATTACTTTACTGTCTAAAACTTCTGTCGTGTAATCTTCTTTTTCTGATTGATTTGGATTTTCCAGCATGTTCTTATTTGATTACTTGTCTTTTCGGTCTCTAATCGAAAAGATACTGATAGATATGAAAGTTTGATTTAAGATAACTGATAAATTCTTTACAAGAGACATGATCTGTTGTTTATTACAATATTATAAATTGGAAATTATTGATTTGGTATTTATTTATCAGTGTTTAATTTCCTAATTTGCCCTTAATTATATTATGGTGTAAAAAAAATTACAACTGAGGATAAAATTGTCAATTCCTAAATTAAAAGGTGTAACATTATGTGTTTTTAAATCTCTGTGTATTTTTCATTGTGAACATTTATGTGACACATTGACACTAAGAACTAAAAACAAAACAAAAATCAGTAAAAGTATTGTCTAATGACTTTGATATACACTGTGAACAATTAATTAATGATCTATTTGAGAAATTGTAGATTTTCTATTTATGGAAATAATAGATTTTCTATTAATGGGGGGAATAAATCAACTCCATGCATTTATAAGTTGACTAAATTAGCTTTTATTTTTATATAATAGATAACATAATTATCTCAAATGAGTAGTTCATATTGGATCTCACAAATTTTAGGGTTCTTATTTGATTAGCATACATGTATATTATATATATATATATATATAGAGAGAGAGAGAGAGAGAGAGAGAAACGAAAGATCATGTGAGAATGGGAATTAAAGTGGAAGCGTAAGAATGGATCTGGATCCATGATCACTTAATATCTCATCCTAATCTCATGAATTACACTTGATATGATATTTTGATCTGATGCATCTTGGTGTATATTATTACTGTTGATCTTCAATTATGATTGATTCAAATGTGGAGATTCCTTCTTATCTTTCTCATCATAACTTTCATTCTCACTGTAACCCAATCATATGTGTGTGTGCATATAGGTGGAGGCTCAAACGAAAACACCTCCATTTTACGATAACACAAGACACCCTTATCACGTGATAATACACCTGAGGGGACCTAGTGGTTTGCGGACATCGTGTCTTGCGACTTACATCGCGTTTGTGTGTATGATTTAGTATCAAATGGGATGGTCTTGATGGATTATAGTATCACATTGATAACACCTTTATCACATGTGATAATACATGTGAGGGGCTTAGTGGTGTAAGGGTGACTTAGCCCACAACGATCACGCTAAAAGTCGTCCAGGTCTCTAATTTAGTATCACATGTGATACTATATGTGATTGTCTATAGTAAAAGGACGTTCTTGTGTTCTCGTAAAATAAAGTTGTTCTCGTTTGAACCTTTCCCTTGTAACACTCCAAGATTACATTTGCATATAAACATATATTTCCATATATCAAGAAATATAATTTACACAACTGGTCTCACTAATTACAAAAGCTACATTACAAGTAGCTACCAAAATTTTCCACAAAATCCATATACAAAACTTGTATATATAACAAGTATTCCAAATTCAAAAGATAACATGTTATCCTAACATCCCAAGTAAGCAAACATAACTCTTCACAATTTCCCTTTCCCCTTATCATTTGTTTGTGCTCGACCTGTAATGCATATTTTCAAAACACCCAAAATGAGGGTTAGACTTCGAAGTCTAGTGAGGAATCCCTTTTGTTAACTATTACAGGGTGAATAAATCACCAAAATACATTTAATATTTTTAACTTTAATCTTTCAATTTTTTTAATATTTCACAGAGTGCACTAAAATCCAACTTCTTTATTTATTTATTTTCAGTTTTAACCTTTTGATATTTGTAACTTTTATCCTGCAACTTTTTTAATATTCCGATATTATATCTCTTATGTTTCTAATTTGTAATCTATATTATAATAATATAATTTAATTAATTTTATATTACTATTAATTAATTAAGTATTAAGAATATGTTTTTTAATATTCTAGTTGTATACAAATGTATTATGATAAATTTGTAATTTTTAGTCTATGTTATAATTATATAAATTAATTAACTTTATATTGATTACGGTAA